CCTGAAACCCAGATCTGTTTGTACAAATTACGCAACAATAAACACTAGATGAATATGGTCACGCTACTGTTGCATAAACAACTGTTTTGTTGTGCAGTAGTGTACGGTATTAATCAATGCGGTCGTGGTCGAGCTTGAAGGTTCGAAGATCGAACCCGGATGGTGACAAACAGCTTCGGTATCAATGACACGTCTATCTTGTTGGGTCCTTATCTATTACTACAACCTGGGTGTGTCCGCGGATCAGTGTAAATCCGTGCATCATTAACACCGTAAGGGTGCACATAAATGAACGGTGTGCCAACCGAATGAGTGTCAATCCAGGATTATGGGGATGAGGTGTCGGTTATCAGCCCGTCAAATTACACTTTGGCAGTAGCGGTCATAACTGACAAGAAAAAATCCATATAGATGCCTCGAGGACATTGACTGTATGAGCTAGATGCGTGGATGGATCCAAGATGATTGGTACAGAAGGTGCACAGGCATCAGAGAAGGCAAGTCTGGGTCGGTTCAGACAGCGACAACGGTGACCTGATGAGGTTCGACAGACAGAGACAGGTGTTAGGCAAATGCGCGATGGCCAGCTGCACTCGTTTATTCTACAATTATGGCTGCGTTGCGGTGAGAAGGGACACGTGCGAATGAACAGGTGCCATACGGGATAGCGTTGAAAATAGAAAAGTGCTTACCCCTGTTTAACGGCAGTCGAAATACTAAGTAGATTTCTCGAGGAGAAAAAGATGACAACAGAACTGGCATCTATTGAAAATCGAGTGAAAATAAGTGCTCATGAACGAAATGACCCGAGAATAGCCACTACAATGACAACAACAACTACTACTGTGTAGATTCGTTATAAGAAAACAACCTCTGGTTACGTTTCTAACAGTCAAGAACCAATGACAGGAGTGCATAGGTGATTCAGCATATGGTATTAATGGAAAAGGTCCCCAAAGATAATCTCGGTTATACATTGGCAACGAAAGGAACTCAAATTGACGCATCTGCAAAAAATGAATGTCACAGCCTCGCTTGTAAGCTCTGGACTGACAAAAAGGGTTAAAAGATGCAAAACTGCTCGCAAAAACTGGCGCTCATTTCGTACTAGGATGACCATTGGCTGGTAGGAACAAGGTGATCTAGAGACTCGTAGGGGATTTTCATCTGCGAATGAGCCTCGTCGAGTAATGAAATGTAACAAACCACACAGATTATTGTACGTATTGAATCATTCACATGTCTGAGGTTAGACTGTAGGTCAAACAAATCACGGTACAACACTCTTGATGACCAAAAAATCATCGTCCGAATAAACCATTCTTATAGAGTATAAGAAGAACGCAACGGCGAACAAGCTTTTTGCGGTAAGTCAGCTACAGGCTGATACATCAAAATTTGGTTAAAAAGTTTAGTAGGGAGAAAACATGGGAAGAGTAATAATCCACATGCAAATTCCATGACCGGATGTTGTTTACACTTTGTCCATCACACATTCAATGATTTGCCGGTGGGTGGATTACTATCTAGTCTCCAGGACAAAGAAGGTGCGCTTTCTTAGACACTTCAAAACAGCAGTCTTTAGCTAACAAAAGCTTGGCAACGAGACGATCAAACAGTGTGCTTAGAAGGTGAAACGATTAAATTTTGAAACAGACGGTGAAAAGAAAGAAAAACAGTGTTGTTCTTGTTTTCTATGTCGTTCTATTCCATGTCCTAAATTAAACCTTTTATATCGTTATAGTCATTGTCTTGGCACCATGCTTGTTGGCAGTGGTTTAGTCGCTGGAACCAGAGTGC